TATGAAAACATACATAGAAAAAATATATTATGAGAAATGTCCTTTTCACAGTGAACACAAAAAACAGTGCATTGCTTTTAGTGCTTTTTTCAAAATAGTACTATCACTGTAGTAGTAAAAATAACAAATATTAAATATTTGTATATTAAGTGCATGACTTTGATCTGAGCTGACAGTCTTTAAATGTCTCTGTATTTTGTGTGTGTCAGGCGAAGCATGTGGATGAAGAAATTTAAGATGGCTCATTTCTCTACTGGATGGTTTTGAGATGTGAACTGCCTGTAAATTTGGAAAAAGTCATATTATTATGTTTAACTTAACTTATGTTTAACTTAATTGTTAAACATTTCATTCAAACATTGATTTGGAAAAACTGTTTAGGTATGGTGTTGAAGACCAATAAAGGATATTCTAAGGTTATATTTCATCAGATATTTTGTTTTATTTCTTATATAAGGAGTAAGTGACGACGGGCCGTTGGATTAGAAAAATAATGCACACCTGAGGTGGTGATGCAGCCACGATGCGAAGCGGCCATTACAACTCGGGTGTGGATTATTTTTCTAATAATTCAACGGCCCGTAGTCAATTATTCCGCGTATACTACGGTTACCACACCACAAGACATCGATCAGATGATATATTTCAAGGCATTCGTCCGGTTTTTGTACTTTAAACGCTATTGTGAGTAGGATTAATTTCTTCCGCATCTCATCCAATGCCTACGTATTCCAAAACATCATTTTAGACCTAGTAACGGAGGACTGAATCATTGATAGCAGACTAATGCAGCTAATAACTACGTTATGAGAGAGAGAGAATTGAATTTGAAACATAACTTTATTTCACAATCATCTTTCCAAACAATTTACCAAATCTAACATCTACACAACTATACAACTACACACCCATATACAGCATTTTACAAGGCAAAATTAAATAATTTTCAGAAATCATACAAAGAGCTCCATTACAACGCCAAATCTTCTCAAAGGTAAACAAATCATTCACATCTTTATAAAATTTATAATCAATTAATACTCTACATTTTACCAGTGTTAAAAATATCCCGGTAATGTTTTGACAAGGTTTTTGATCAATTTTATTCCTACTTACATATATTGCCATTTTTGCCTGACCAATTATACAATTCAGCAACTGACAGATATATTTCTTTCTTTGACTGTATTTAAACCCCAAAATAAAAATCCTTTCAGAAAAAGATTAATTAAAACCACGAAAAACGTATTTTACAAAATCAAAGAAAGGTACTAATCTTGAACATTGAACAAATACATGAAAAATAGTTTCTCTTTGAAAACAAAAGGGACAATCATCCTTGACTTCCACATTCAAAACAGAGACAAAAGAATTAACAGCTAAAATCCCATGAAGTATTCTCCATTGCAAAGTCACCAACTTTTTTTTGATAATGGCGATTTATATATAACTCGCCATTCTGGTTTTACATTTTCGTTTAAACTAAAGAAAAATCTCCACAGTGTATCTGATTTCTTAGCAAGATGATTCTTGTTAAAAACTATCACACAAACTCTATACAATAGATTTCCTTTGGTAGATAATAAATCCAACCACTTCAAGTTCCACATTAAAAAAACAAACCAAAAAAAAAAAACTTTAAATCCATCCAAATTTGGTGAAAGCATTAGACAAGGTGAAAAAATCATTTTCATCAGTCACAGATGCTCCAGATAAATAGTCTTTTATCATTTGGCTCTCTTCTACTGTAAAAGTAGATTTCAAATTCATTAAAAAAGAGAGAACAGTCAAATCGAACTGGTGCCTAAAAAATGAGCCACCATTTCTGCAATGTCCAAAGTTAAAATAATCACCTTTGATTCTTTAAGCTTAGAACCCCAATTAAAAAAAAAAATAAAAAAAAAAAACCTGCTGTTGTCAGTTGCATCAAGACGGGCTCCAAGAATTAAAGGTTCCTCTTGAAGCCAGTACAGTGAGTACAGGTTTTCGGACATCTGAATATGAAACAGACTCCAAACTTTAAAAAGACTCCTATATTATTAGTATTAGTAGAAAAAGATGTTTGTCTAACCCAGTGGTTCTCAAACCTCTCCATGAAGTACTCCCAGCACTGCACATTTTGTATGTCTCCCTATATCTGACACACCCACTTCAGGTCTTCCAGTCTATACTAATGAACGGATGAGTTGAATCAGGTGTGATAGATGAGGGAGACATACAAAATGTGCAGGGCTGGGGGTACTCCAGGACAGGTTTGAGAACCACTGGTCTAACCCAAAGCCTCCATAATTTTGCTAAATAATGTGGGCAACTGCCCTCCAGCTGACATCCGCTGCACCATCTAAAAGTCTCTGAAAGAATTGTAACCGAAACGCTGCCGTTCTGCTTTGTAAACGAATCAGTCCTTGTCCTCCTTCTTTTTCTCGTTTCTCTAAACGTCCTTTAAGTTTTTCAACAACTCCTTCCCAATTCTTCTGTTGAGTCATGTCATCACCTAAAAAAAACTCCCAAATATTTTAAACCACCTTTTCCCCAGACCAAACCTTCGGGAAGTTTTGGCTAACCATTATTCCATTTACCAAACAAAAGTGTCTCACATTTCTTCCAATTCACCTTTGCTGAATAAAAAAAAAGGAAAATCATGAATTAAATCAAATAAACTTTGTGCGTCCTTTTGTCCACTGACAAAAACTATTACATCATCAGCGTAAGTTGATAGACATATATGTTTTGTACTTTTACAGTCTGGCAAATGTAAACCATTCATTTTTTTTTTCCCCCTTATGTGTTGTAATAAAGGTTCAATGGCCAATGAGTACAGCATTCCAGATAATGCACAACCTTGCCTTACACCCCTTTTAACCTGGAATGCAGCACATAAAACCACCATTTATCTTTAATACACTTTCAACCTCACTATAGAGTACCTGGACCATCTTAATAAAATCTTGTTTAACCCTTAAATGCATGAATGTTTCGCCAATCATTATTACATATTCGGGTCTTTAGCGACCCGGACCTATATATCCAGCACAGATGGATCTCTAACTGTTGAAATAGCAAAAAACTCTCTTCATATTTTAAGAACAATTACAGAAGAATAAAATAAAGCATATTTCGTTACCTTTTGAAACTTAAAGGGATAGTTCACCCAAAAATGAAAATGTGATGTTTATCTGCTTACCCCCAGGGCATCCAAGATGTAGGTGAATTGTTTCTTCAGTAGAACACAAACGAAGATTTTTAACACAAGACAATTTTTAATATAACTCCGACTGGATTCGTCTGAAAGAAGAAAGTCATATACACCTAGGATGACTTAAGGGTGAGTAATTTGTGGGCTAATTTTCATTTTTGGGCGAACTAACCCTTTAAACATCATTTTTTATTTTCTCCAAATTCATCACAATTTTCTTTAACCTATAAACTTCTTTATTTGTGAAGCATCCCTCAGCCATTAAACTTTTAGTTTTCTCAACAAACTGTGTTAAGTTCAGTGTTGCCAGATTGGGCGGGATCCTGCCCAATTGGGCGGTTTTGAATTTGATTGTGCGGGTAAAAATTGGTTTGGGCGGGTGGACAAAATTTGGGCTGGTTTTGGGGTCAGTTTGGCGGTTTTCAAACATATAAATTGCATAGGCTAATTGTTTAACAAACAAGCCCAAGTATGCATGTACTGCATCAATCAGTCATCACAACGTTACCACACACACACACACACACACACACACACACACACACACACACACACTGCAGAGGCACTGGTGCTGATGTAAACGTCTACAGCCGCACTTATCACGAGGGCTCAGTAGACAGATGTTCAAAGGTGACAAGTTTTTAGCGTGATAAATTATAACGTATCTGATTTTGAATGTAGTATGATTGTATATTCAAGTAATCACAATGCCTAAATATAAGTTAAAGAGTGGAAGAGTGACTCAACTCTCAAATCGTGAATTATTGTGGAGTGAGATGACACGAAGGCTCTATCACTGCAACTCCGAAATCAGAGCACATTTGAATTAATCAAAACCGAAACTAAATATGTTGGTTTATACGATCCTCTTTTATCTTTTAAACGGCCCAGATTGATAAATCCTTGTAAACTGCTAGACTTGATTAGTTTTGACTGTGCAAAGTTCTGTATTAGGCCTGTTCTACAATATGAACTTAACAAGAGGCGAGGCTTAGTTCTGTGTAAAATTATAGAGCGACACGAAGGTAAGCGCATTATTGTTGTTATTTTTTTTTAATTGTCGGATTATAATTCAGTGTATCAATGAATCAATGATCAATGAATGACACAGTTTTGAGTTGACTGTCATGGTGTGTGCATGAACAAGTCTGAAATACCTGCTAAATACGTTGCTTTTTCCTATCACTTAGGCTATATCGGGCACTTTTTGCATTTAAATTGGATTATTCTAACTGCTGACATTGAAAATCATGCATGTGTTGTTTCGAGGGTATCGGTTAATTTCTTGATTGCCGTTTTGACAGTGTCTGCTTGCATATTTTATTCATATTCGGTAGCCTAATTATCTTTAATGTAGGCTATTTGCCCCGATTTGATCCGTTTACCTGAATGCGAAATTTATCTAACGTTATATTTATATTATTTTGTCATCAATATTTTGTTTTAAGGAGTTAAAATGGCCCTTATCAACCTTGATTTACATATTCTATCACATTATTTTGACAGATAAAGTTTTGGGCGGGTTTTTGTGAGCTTTTGGGCTGGAAATTGTCCATCCAATCTGGCAACACTGGTTAAGTTAGGGAAGTACTCTTGTACACACACACCTCTCTTGTTCTTTGTTGACTTAAGGAACCTTTTTATCTCCTCTGCATTGTAACTATGAACAGATAACTCATTTAGAGATAACGCACTAGAATCTGAGAACTCACTTTCACTTTCTGTTTCATTATCATCACTAAAGTTCAGATCGAGTTTCTTTAGAGCTTTTTTATTTTGAGACTTGTCACTCATTTTTCTTTTTTTAGGCATTTTGAAACTCTCTGCTTCTGTCTCCATTTCCAAATCCACACAATCAATTTCACTCATTTTCTGTACAACCTGTGTACCATCCTTTCCAGTAGTACCACATTCTCTTTCTTTTTCAGGAAATTTTGAATGTTTTTCATTCAAAACCTATATGGCTGAAACCTACTGCAGTTTCAGCCATATAATTTTTCCTCCCTTTTCTGAGTCCATTCCTCTCACAACAACATCTTCTATTCTAGGTGTCTCATCACAAGTAACAACTTCTGTCTCTCTACTGGATTCACCCTGAACACCTGCACTCCGTAAATCCACACTAGCTTTACTTGTGCTTGGATAGGAACCATCATCCCCGTGGGCAGTTGCGAATCGAATGTCCTGTTTTTCCACAACCAAAGCACTTTGTTTTAGCAGTTGTCACAGAAATTATGTAATCAAAATCGTCAACTCTAAAACTAAGTGAAAGATCCAATTCCTCATCATCCTGAACTATCATGTATGCAAATCTCCTGAAAGACACAATATGTTTCAAAAGAGAAGTCGTGCTAATCGGGATCTTTTTTTATTGGGGAAACCAATTTTCCATATTGTGATAGAGCTTTTGTTATTATCTCGTCACTAAGAAAGGCAGGAATATTAGATAAGGTGACTCTTTTCGAAGGCATCAAGATGGGAAGAACAGAAACAAACTCGCCATCAATCACAATTCCCTTCTCAACTACTTAATTCACCTTTTCAATGCTACTCAGAAAAATCACTGTAGCGCTATTCATCCTAGATGCTGATAAAATACATCTGTGTCCTACAACCTCACCAATCGGAAGGTAAATCTCCTCTATACTCACCGCCAACGCCACCTTAACCGCATGGCGCCGCGTGAGTGTAGACAAAACCTGAGTAGCCAGGGCTGTCATGCTTACTCCGGTAAGAAACCAGTAGCACACAGCCAAAAAAAGTAACGCTAACAACAAAAATCACAAAAATTTAACACGAAAAAGACAGAAATCACTCACTCATCACGTACACGCTCACAGCACTCAGTCCACTCACGCTCAACACCCTCACCGGAAACGAGAGAGAGAGTTTAGTAATAGTTATGACAAAAGTCATATCTTTTTGTATCAATTTCAACTTTGTATCTCATAAATATGCTTAGTATCTCAATTTTGACCTTTTCTGTGCGTCTCTCAAAAGTGTTCGACAGCAGAGTCTCATAGTGAAACTTAAGTTCATTTTGTTCACGAAAAGTTTTCAACTTTGTATCTCATAAATATGCTTAGTATCTCAATTTTGACCTTTTCTGTGCGTCTCTCAAAAGTGTTCGACAGCAGCGTCTCATAGTGAAACTTAAGTTCATTTTGTTCACGAAAAGTGCCGTTGTTACCTCGCTTGTTAGAAATGTCATGTAGCTTTTAAGTTGCTAAACTATTTTACAGATAAAATCATCAGAGTAGCGCTAACAACGTTAGTGCGTGTACAGTCATGGCCAAAAGTTTTGGCAGTGACATCAATTTTGTGTTTTGCAAAGTTTTGCCTCTTAAGCTGTTGTGGTGTTCATTCACATTGTTTCTAGATTATTGTGTAGAGTGATCAGATGCATTTTAAATAATTGCTAAAAGCTTAATTGGCCAAAAAATGAACTTTTCACACACACACAAAAAAATCACTGTTTTTTTTTTATCCTGACACAAAATGACCAGCTATGGACAACGACCTGGTGTCAAGAAGGGCAGCAAAGAAGCCACTTCTCTCCAAGAAAAACTTCATGGACAGACTGAAATGCTGCAGGAAGTACAAAGATTGGACAGCAGAAGACTGGTGGAAAGTTATTTTCTCTGATGAAGCTCCCTTCCGACTGTTTGGGACATCTGGAAAATCGATTGTTCAGAGAAGAAAAGGTGAACGCCACCATGAGTCCGGTGTTGTGCCAACAGTAAAGCATCCTGAGACCATCCATGTGTGGGGTTGCTTTTCAACCAAGGTAGTGGGCTCTCTCATAATTCTGCCCCAAAACACTGCCAGCAATAAAGAATGGTATCAAAACGTCTTGCAAGAGCGACTTCTTCCAACGATCCATGAGTAATCTGGTGATGATCCGTGCATTTTCCAGCATGATGGAGCACCATGACACAAAGCAAGAATGATAAAGAAGTGGCTCGGAGATAATTACATTGAAATTGTGCATCCGTGGCCAGGCAACTACCCGGATCTCAATCCCATAGAGAACCTGTGGTCAGTCCTCAAAAGGCGAGTGGACAAGCAGAAGCCCACAAATTGTGATCAACTCCGAGAACTAATAAGGCAAGAATGGATCGCCATCAGTCAGGATTTGGCCCAGAAGCTAATATCCAGCAGGCCAGAGCGAATTGCAGAGGTTATGAAGAACAAGGGTCAACACTGTAAATATTGACTCATTATATTTTTTGCCAATAAAAGCCTTTAAAACTTATGATATGCTTATCATTGTTTTTCAGTATACCATAGAAACATGTGGAAAAAATAATCTACAAATACTGAAGCAGCAAACTTTGCAAAACACAAAATTTATGTCACTGCCAAAACTTTTGGCCATGACTGTATTATGTTTCCGTGTGTGCGTCCGTAAGGGTGAGAGAGCGGGAGATATAGAGTACGTGCTTTACGTACATAATAAAATGTCATTTTGTGGCAAAACATGGAAATATTCTGTCGTTTTTATCCTATTGCTTAAGTTAATATATTTATGTGTTTGAGCAGTGTCGTTGTGGGTTTTGGTTATTTTGCTGTTGTAAGACCTTTGAAATAACCACTGATCTATAATAGAGAACTTTATTTATATTTAGATCAGTGGGAATAACTGAAATCATCTCAATCAAAATAATTGCACACCTTAGAACGTTCCTCAGCCAATCAGATTCAAGCATTCAACAGCCCCGTAGTGTATATGTTAGGGCTGGACGTTATGGCCAAAATTTATATCACGATATATTTCTTAATTTCGGTCGATACGATATAATTCCGATATCGATATGAA